CACGAGACCGCCAGTAGTAGCAGTAGTATTAGCAGCAGCAGCAGCAGCAGCAGCAGCATCAGCAGCAGCAGCAGCAGCAGCAGCAGTAGTAGTAGTAGTAGTAGTAGTAGTAGTAGTAGTAGTAGTAGTAGTCGTCGTAGTCGTAGTCGTAGTCGTAGTCGTATTCGTAGTAGTCGTAGTAGTTTTAGTAGTAGTAGTAGTAGTAGTAGTAGTAGTAGTAGTAGTAGTAGTAGTAGTAGTAGTAGTAATAGTAGTAAGTAGTAGTAGTTGTAGTAGTAGTAGTAGTAGTAGTAGTAGTAGTAGTAGTCGTAGTAGTAGCAGTCGTAATAGTAGTAGTAGTAGTAGTTAGTAGTAGTAGTAGTAGTAGTAGTAGTAGTAGTAGTAGTAGTAGTAGTAGTAGTCGTAGGTAGTAGTCGTTAGTCGTAGTCGTAGTCGTAATAGTAGTAGTGTAGTAGTAGAGTAGTAGTAGGTAGTAGTAGTAGTCGTAGTCGTAGTCGTAGTCGTAGTATAGTAGGTAGTAGTAGTAGTAGTAGTAGTAGTAGTAGTAGTAGTAGTAGTAGTAGTAGTAGTAGTAGTAGTAGTAGTAGTAGTAGTAGTAGTAGTAGTAGTAGTGGTAGTAGTAGTAGTGTAGTAGTAGTAGTAGTAGTAGTAGTAGTTAGTAGTAGTAGTAGTAGTAGTAGTAGTAGTAGTAGTAGTAGTAGTAGTTTTAGTAGTAGTAGTAGTAGTAGTAGTAGTAGTAGTTAGTAGTAGTCGTAGTAGTCATAGTAGTAGTAGTAGTAGTAGTAGTAGTAGTAGTAGTAGTAGTAGTCGTCGTAGTCGTAGCAGCTGTAGTAGTAGTAGTAGTAGTAGTAGTAGTAGTAGTAGTAGTAGTAGTAGTAGTTGTAGTTGTAGTTGTAGTAGTAGACCTGGGACCTGGGACAACCCAGGAGGGTGCAACGCCGTGATCCGCGCGGACCGTTGGACATAGCTCCTCTCGCTCGAAGAAGAGGCGGGGGGCAGAAGTGGCCATCGATGGTACTGCCACCGCGGAGTTCGATGCACGACGACCTTCGGCGTGTGCGTCCAGATGACTGACCACGAGGCCAAGCCACCGAAGGCGTGGTACCTACAGGCCAAATTCCCCGAGGAGGACATCAGGGATCTCTCCCTGCTGCGAGCGGGCAAATTCAAGAAGGACAGCGTCGCGGCGATCAATCCCGCGGATCTGCTGCGACACCTTCCGCAGGTAGAGCCTTTGGCAGTGGGCGCAGTGTTCAGGAAATACTCGGGTAATATGGAATGGGAGGGCCATTGGGTATTGATGAACGGCGTGACGTGGGATAAGATACCTGGGTTCGACTGGTGCGACGTATGCTCGCAGACCGCATGGGGGCTCAATGACCCTGCGTGGGCGGGCCGCAGCAAGAAGAGCAGGAACAGGTTGGAGCGCGAGAAGCTCGGTGGGGCGAGGGTGGCGATGCTGAGCTACGAGCAGCGTCACAAGTTGGACGTCGGCAGCCTTGCCAGCGGGGTGTGTGCAGGGGCCGCCCCGAGTGCCCCCCCGCTGACGGGCCGCGGGTGGACCTGGGGATGAGTGGCGCAGGGGCGGCGGCCCCGCCGCCGCCGCCGCCTGCGCCCGCGGCGCGGGCAAACGTGGAGGTGCCGCCGCCGCCGCCTGCGGGCCCGCCGCCAGACGTCGAGTCTAAGTGGTTTGGCCCCGCGGTGGAGGGCAGCCAATGGGGCGGGGCGGCCCGGGCGCTCCCGTCCGAGGTCATCTTTCGCAAGACTGAATGGTTCTGAGGCCCCGTGTCTCCAGGGCTCCGAGGCCCGAGTGAGTGAATGAGTCAGTTAGTGAGTGGTTGCACGCTTGCTCTGACATGGTGCGCTGCGTCAGCGCGGCGCCAACTTTCATCGTTGCCAGGGCGCGCCAACTTGGGGCTGTTTGAGGCTCCGCCGTGGCCTCTCTTGCGCGCCCTCTGCCACCTTGTAGCGCTAGGGCCGCCCCGTGGGCTACGGGCCGTTCGCAGCGTCGCCGTGCAGCCCTCGGAATTTCATGTCAGTGACCGGCCATTTTGGCTTGCCCTACCCCGTTTCTCGCTGTGGGCTCTTGCCGCATGGGGCCTCCCGCGCATTGTGGGGTCGGGCGGTGCTGTGGCAGCCCCGTGCGCTGCGCGCCCTGTGCTGTTTTTGGCCGGGCCCGTCTTGATGCGCCCTGGCGGTCGCGTCTGGGGCGAGCGGTGTTTGGGCAGTCCCGTGCGCCGTTCGCCCTGTGGCTGTTTTGGGCCAGGCTCGTCTTGATGGGCCGTGGCCGCGGCGCTGCGGCTTCGTCATTCCGCGGCGTGTGCCCTGCCTTTCTTCGCGCCCCACTTGGCGTCTGTTTCGTTGTAGGGTGATGAGGCAGCCGCAGGGCGCTCGCCCCAGCGTGGTCGAACCGTGGTGATGTGGCGCACGTGGCCGCAGTAGTAGTGGTGGTAGTAGTGGCAGTAGTAGTCGTAGAAGTAGTAGTAGTAGTAGTAGTAGTAGTAGTAGTAGTAGTAGTAGTAGTAGTAGTAGTCGTAGTAGTTGTAGTAGTAGTAGTAGTAGTAGTAGTAGTAGTAGTAGTAGTAGTAGTAGTGGTAGTAGTAGTAGTAGTAGTAGTAGTAGTAGTAGTAGTCGTAGTAGTCGTCGTAGGCGTAGTAGTAGCAGTAGTAGTGTCAGTAGGAGTAGTAGTAGTAATCGTAGTGGTAGTAGTAGTAGTAGTAGTAGTAGTAGTAGTAGTAATAGTAGTCGTAGTCGTAGCGGTAGTCGTAGTAGTAGTAGTAGTAGTAGTAGTAGTAGTAGTAGTAGTAGTAGTAGTAGTAGTAGTAGTAGTAGTAGTAGTAGTAGTAGTAGTAGTAGTAGTAGTCCGTAGTCAGTAGTAGTAGTAGTAGTAGTAGGTAGTAGTAGTAGTAGTAGTAGTAGTAGTTAGTAGTAGTAGTAGTAGTAGTAGTAGTAGTAGTAGTAGTAGGTAGTAGTAGTTAGTAGTAGTAGTTAGTAGTAGTAGTAGTAGTAGTATAGTGAGTAGTAGTAGTAGTAGTAGTAGTAGTAGTAGTAGTAGTAGTAGTAGTAGTAGTAGTAGTAGTAGTAGTAGTAGTAGTAGTAGTTAGTAGTTAGTAGTTAGTAGTTAGTAGTTAGTAGTTAGTAGTAGTAGTAGTAGTAGTAGTAGTAGTAGTAGTAGTAGTCGTAGTAGTAGTAGTAGTAGTAGTAGTAGTAGTAGTAGTAGTAGTAGTAGTAGTAGTAGTAGTAGTAGTAGTAGTAGTAGTAGTAGTCGTAGTAGTTAGTAGTAGTAGTAGTAGTAGTAGTAGTAGTAGTAGTAGTAGTAGTAGTAGTAGTAGTAGTAGTAGTAGTAGTACTAGTCGTAGTTGTAGGCTTGGTTCGAGAGGATGCTGTAGGGCAGGCGGCGGCCGCGGCCAAGCGCCCGCCTGCGCAGGGCTGCTGTGCCCAGACGGCCCCAGCCTGTTGTTCTTCGCCCAGGTCAGACCACGGTGCAGAGCCATTCCGGGGCACCTGGGACGTTGAAATCGACGTGGTGCTCGTCGATGATGGCCTTTTCGCTGGACTTCCATTCGCCGCCGTGCCGCTCGCAGATGCTGTTCTGCGTGGGGCTCAGGGCGGCGGTGGCGATGAGCTCAGTGCCCATGCCTTCGAGCTCGCTGTGGAACTCCCTCTCGAACTCGCCTCCGAGGTCTGCGATGCTCGCCTCGGGCGGGCCAGCCCCGCCCATCCGCCTCGTGAGTTGCGTCGGCCACGACGTGGCGGGCTTCTTGTCGGCCTGCGGGGCCACCGGCTGGAGGGTGCTGGCCGCGTCGACGTTGTATTGCAGCTGATCCCGGATGCCCTTCGCATCGGCGAGGGTCATCAGGTCGGTGGCGACTCCATCGCCACACTCGCGGAACTTGGACCTCAGGTCTGCGGGCGCGGAGATGTCCGGGGGCTTCCGCCTCTCACATTCGGGGCAGTGGTGAGCTTCAGCTGCCGCGATCGCCTCAGGCGAACCGCCCTGCAAGCGGATGGCCCCCCGCGAGGCTGGGGTGCGTCGGATAGCCGGTGTTGGTGCGCGCCAGCTTGACCGCGCGCTCGAGCTGCGCCCGCTCTGCCGGGTCCATGGCGTCGAGGGCCGCCTCGGCGCGGGCAGTGGCCTCCCTGTCGTGGGCTACCGGCGTCGCGTCGTAGCCGCGGCGAACTGCTCTCAGTCCCGAGGCGATGTCCTTCACGAGCGGGGCGGTGCATCGGCCAGTCTGGGTGAGATCGGGGCCCCCTTGGAGCCGCCTATCGACGGACGAGGGAGTTTCCACTAGCCGCCCTCTTCGGGAGCGCCGAAAGTCGCCCCTTGGGGCGCTCTTGGAGCGCTTTTGGGCGCTCTTGGGCAGTCTCGGGGCTCTCTCGGGCTTCTCTTGGGGCGCTCTTGGGCCATCTTGAAGCTATCTTCAACCTGCTTAGGGGGGTCATCGGAAGCGACGCGGCGAGAAGGCTTAAACGACGCGAGTGTTCTTCAGGTTTGGGAATGTTTTACTTGCGTCTGGTGGGGCACATTGAGCTCTCTCGGGCCACTGTGGGCCGCCTCGCGGTGGCCCTGGAGTCTTCTGGGACATGCTGGGGAGCGTCGTGAGACATCTAGAGTTATCTGGAGCAGTCTTCGAGGTCATTTTGGGCTCTCCGAGGCGCTCTTGGAGCCATCTTGGGCCATCGCGGGTGCTCCAACTACCCGCGACTCCCTCCCCCCCGTCAAGTTCCAGGTGATGGGGTTCGGTGCCGGATGGGGGGTAGGCGGCTTCCTCGACGGGGGAGAAGGGGCATCGCCCTAGACCGCTTGCGTTCACGGTTTGGCTGGATTCGCATGTTTTTTTTTTTTGTTCCTGGTCGGGTCGGTGCTGAGAAACGTGTCGCCCTGGGCCCGCATTGGTTGACCGTTGCAGCTTGGGGATGTGCCTGGGCTGTGAGGCATTGGTCAGCGTTTGTTCGGAGATTCTGCGGGTCGGTGGCAACGGGCGGGCGGCGTGGGGATGGGCGAAGGAATGGGTACCGAGGGTACTTGCAGGCAGCTTCGCAGTGGGTTTATGCCAATGCGGGCATGCTGGTGAGATCGGAGGGGAATGGAGACGCGTCGCCACTTGCATTTCCGTCGCAGCTCAGGACATTTTCAAGCAGGGCCACGAGGCCAAAGGCTTGAAGCTCTCGCTGTTCGACAACCCCGACGACCCGACCAGCAAGATACTGGTGGTGCTGTTCAACGATGCCGCCAAGCTCGGCGACAACGTGGGCGTCGTCGTCGAGCGCGGCGTCTCGCGCGCCACATCCGAGGACGAGTGCGGGCTGATCAACGAGACCCAGCTGTTGGTGACCTGGGGCAGGGGCTGCTTCTCCGAGATGGCGCGCCCGAGTGGGCTAGGGGAAACCCAGTGCAAGCGATGCCGCCTGCAGAAAATCAATTGCGACGCGTGCGTCCCCGAGGCCCTCCCCCCCGACGGCGGCGCGAACGCCCCCGCGGGCGATGGCGCGGCGCTGGGTGGTGATGTTCCAGCGTTTCGGGAGGCGGCGGCGGAGGACAGGCCTGCAAGGTGCGGCTATTGGATCAAGCTACCTAAGTGGAGGTGGGGCTTCGTCGCGACCTTCGCCGAGTGCAGGGCCGACGACGATGGCGAGAGCGAGGGCGAGGTCGATGCCGCCGCCGTCGTCGGAGCGTCGGCCATGCGGGGCAGGTCGTGCCCAGGGGGGCCGTCGAGAGTGCGCTGCGGGAGATGCCCAGGGCCATCGACCTTGCCACAATCGCGAGTGGGCTGAACAGCCCAGGGCACAGGGGGGCGCGGCTGAAGACCAGGAGGGGCCAGTGCAGCGCTTCATCCAACCAGGCCGAGATCGACGCTGCGGGGCTCGTCGCGAAGCGCCTCGACTTGGCTGCGTGCGCCGAGGACTTGGCGAAGCCCGATCTCTTGCGCACGCTGCCCCAGGAAGTGTTCGAGATCAAGATGGCTGCTATGTGCGCGACGGACATGGTATTGCTGGTGTCGCTGGCGGTGGGGATCAGCAGCCGAGCCGCGCTTGCCGTGGGCGCGGAGATGTCCAGCGGCAGTTCCGAGGATGTCGCGAGGTTCGTCGAGATCGTATTGCCGATAAAGCCGCCGACGACTCATGCCGAAGGGGATTTCGATGCTTCCGGTGGCGACGCTGGCTTTGATTGGCGGGGCCCTTGCGGGTGCCGCGTCCCCGGCGACCCGAAGTCGCTGGTGGCCAGGATCGAAAGCGCGACGTTCTCCTACTTGCTGTGCCCGTTGCTGAAGAGCTGGTCAACGTCGCGCTCCACGTCGCAGTGAGTAGAACAGTTCAGCATATTGACGGCGTTCTGATCAAATCAATGGGGGATGCCGTGGAGGAGGAAGTCCAGTTGAGCGTAAACTCTGTGGTGGAGTGTCTGGGGGCCGTCCAGTACGTCGTGGACCTTGGCCCGCTGAGCTTCAATTTCGCGTCGGGCTTTGACGCGATGTCTTCTGCCGAGCCGAGCGCGTCCGACTCCCATTGGAGGGGCCTCGGGTGCCTGTTCAACGAGCGGATGAGCGAGCTGCCATTGTTCCAGAGCAGCGTCGCGCCCATCAGGAAGACCAAGGTGAGGTGGACGATGAGGGGTTAATGGAGAGGTCGAGGGGGGTGGCGGCCAGCTTGCTAGGAGGGTGGGTGGCTTCGAGTCTGATGAATGGTTGGGCGAGGCGAACGCGAGTGCGATTGTGAGGGGGTGGGGGTGGGGGGTGGGGTGGGGGGGGTGGGGGGGGGGGGGTGTGTGTGATGAGGTGAGGCGGTGTGTGTGTGTGTGTGTGTGTGTGTGTGTGTGTGTGTTGTGTGTGTGTGTGTGTGGAGGGGGGGGGGAGGGTGGTGGTGGTGGTGGGGTGGGGCGTGGGGTGGGGTGGGGGGTGGGGGGGGGGGGGAGAGGAGGGGGAGAGAAGGAGGATGGGGGAGATGGAGGAGGGGGGGTGAATGGGGGGGGGGCGGCGGGGGGGGGGCGGATGAAGGGGGGAAGGGGGGGGGGGGGGGGGGGGGGGGGGGGGGGGGAAGGGGGAGGCTGTGGTATAACGCATGGGGCTCGCCCGCTCAGCGTGGACAAGATTATCGCGGCCACCAGGGCCTTCAATGACAGTGCTGACCCGCTTCCAGCCATGCCGCAGCCAGAGGACTGCCTGGAGAATATGCCGGGTCTGAGGGCAAAAACTCGCGCGAGGGTGCCGCCAAGGAGCTCGAGGTGAAGTTGCTTGTTTACTTGGGGGCGTGGGCAGGGGGGCTCCCTGGGCTCGAACCGAGCCCCCGGGCCGCCTCCCCTGCGTCTGTCCCCTGTGCGGTTGTGAATGGTCGACGGCGTGGGCGGGGGCATTCCGAGCCGTGTCCGACGTCGGTGAGGCTGCCTCTGCGACGTATGATTGCCTAGTTCCGTTTCGCTCAACTCCGTGCGGCACTTCGCTGGGCGTCGCGGGGCCCTTCGTAGGCCTTCCTGGGCGCCCCCCAGTGGGAGTTCGTAGAAGGCGTGGGTTCGTCTCGGGGTCTTGGTGTACCAGCTCGGGTTTAGGGCTGCCAGCGCCCCTCCTGAGACTCTAGAACCCACCCTCTCCATATCGGTGGCCTCTGGGGCCGACCGATGCCCGCCCCCGGGCGCCCGTCGCCGCGGGTGCGAATGGGGGTGGGGGTGCGATGGGGGTGGGGGCGGGGGCGATCTGAGCATGGCGATGCGCGCGTGCGAGGCTTATGGGCTCAGTCGCGGCCCGCCCGCGCCCCCCCCCCCCGCCGCGTGACTTCTCGTCCGCCCCGCCCGCCTGCTTGCGCCCATCGTTGCCAGTCGTCTGAAGGCCCCGGCCCCGCTCTGCCCGCCGCCGCCGCCGCTCGGCGCCCCCCCCCTTGCCGCCCCCTTACAAACCAGCGGCAAGGCGGGTGGGGGTGGGGCGAGGGGGTGCCGAGCGACGCGCGCTCGCGGCAACCGAGGTGGCGGCGACCTCGGCAGCCTGGAAGGCCAAGTCCGTGAGCGTAGAGACAATGTCCAGCGCGATCGAGGGGTTGAAAGCGATGCAGCGCATTTTCGCGATCGCGCAGGACAGGGGCTGCTTCCAGCTCCCTCCCAGGTCACCGCGGCCATCGAGTCTTACAAGGAGATCGGCCGTCTCGTGGGCGTCGAGGTGTCGAATGCAAGGTTTGGCAACGCCATCAGTTCGGTCCGACCTGCCGATTTCATGAGCGCCGAGCCCAGGGGGGCGTTTTCCGCCAAGGTAGTCGAGATTCTGCGCGCGGCCGACCTGGATGACCCCTTCCCAGAACCAGCCATCGCAGCCACCCTCGCCTCTTGAAGGGCTTGTGCGAGCAGCTGAACGCCGCCTCGGCCCACCTCGACGGCGACGCGGTCCAGCTCGTCGGGCAGGTGATGCAGATCTTGCACCCCGGCCATCGCGAGAGGGGTGCGCGGAGTTCTGCGCACCGACTGTTGGGCACCATCGTCGATGCGAAGGACTACCTTCGCAAGTGCCGGGCTGGTGGGCCAGGCCCTGCAGGTTGGGTCAGCGGTGGCGCCGATGGCACGGCGTTGAGGCGCCTGTGCGCCACTGGAATGGCGATCGAGGCGCACTTCATGCAGCTCCCCGCGCCCTTCCAGGTCGCCAGCCTGGTGGCGGAGACCCGGATCAGCATCGATAACATCGTCGCGGCGGGCGCTGCGGTGCGCTGCGGCGAAGCGCAGAAGGCAGCCAACAAGTTGTGGATCACGCCCTTCGACGACAAGGATGAGAACGAGCGGGCCCTCGAGAAGGCGTTCGGTGGAACGTTCGACGGCTCGGATGGGTATGGCCTGCTGGCCGACAAAAGTAGTTGCCAGAGCGTCTGCAGGGCCGCGGCGAAGACGTTGCTCGCGCTGGGCCCGACGAAGTTCAAGGGTCGGGTTTGCGAGATGTGGGGGGCTGTGCAGGCGGCGAAGACTGAGCGATAAGCTTGCGACGCGGGAGCTGATATAGAGTGCGAGTCGGAGATCGCGAATATATCGTAAAAAAGGTTACACCACGAGTATGGCAGCAACCATCATCGGAGTCCTGCGCAGCTCGGTCAACAACCGCAAGCCGAACAGCTACAACTGGGTTTGCGAGTCGATCACGGCGTGCGTTGACGCCGCAGTGAACCTCATGCCATTGCCCTAGGCTCGAGGATATCGGCGCTGCGGGGCAGTCCCTCGGTGACTGGAGGCCCTCGGTCAACAACCGCAAGCCGAACAGCTACAACTGGGTTTGCGAGTCGATCACGGCGTGCGTTGACGCCGCAGTGAACCTCATGCCATTGCCCTAGGCTCGAGGATATCGGCGCTGCGGGGCAGTCCCTCGGTGACTGGAGGCCCGATGGGGGGGTAATTAGGCGCGGTGGTGAGAAGAGGGCGAGAGGGGTGGGGCGGTGGGGCGGGAACGGCGTCGTGGCGGGCGGGCGGGGGGCGGGCGGGGGCTGCGGCGTGGGTAGCAATGAGATGCCGCGGCATCTTCGTCGCCCTCCCTCGGAGGGCGTTGCGAGCGTGGGCTTCCTGGCAACCGATGGGCGGGCCCCGCCGCGCGCTTGGGCCGCGGCCCGCGGCGGATCGCGCGCCTGGGGTGCGCGCGGGGGAGCCCTGAGGGACATGGTAGGATGAGGAGTGTGGGGTGAGTCCTCCTCCTCCTCCTCCTGCCCCTCCTCCTCCCCCTCCTCATCGCTCTTCCTTTCTCGGCGCCGCTCCACATCGCGCCTCCGTCGTCCGTCGGGGCTGGGTGTTCAGGGGGGGTTCGGGGTGTTGTCGATGGGCCTGGGGCGTCATCGTTGGGGCTCTTCTGTTAGGGGGGTTTGGGCAAGGCTGGCTGGGTCAGGGTGTTGGGTTTGGGGCGTTCGTGTGGGGCTTGGGGTGGTTTTTGATATTGGATGTGTTGGTGTTGATTGTTCGCGTGGTTGGTTGGAGTTGGTGTGTCGGGCTATGGCGTAGACGTTGGGGCCCCTCGGGTTGGGTTTCGGGGTGATGGGGTGGTGGTGTGAGTGCCCCCGTCCCCCTACCCCCCCATCCCCCCCCTCCTTTTTATCTTCCTCTCTTCCTCCTCCGGCTCCCCCTCCTTTGCGTGCAGATGCAGGGGCCTGAGGCGGCCTTGTGGGTGCGCGTGGCCAGGCACCCGTATGCCGTGCCAGTGCTGGCGAAGCCTGGCTGCGCGCGTTGCCCCAGGGACTGGACTTGCTTCATCCAAGAGGTGGGCCAAGCGACTTCCGCCGACGAGCTCGCCACCCTCTGGGGCCGCATCGTGTGCGGCATCGAGCAGGAGCTGCTGGACAGGCTCGACATCATGGGCCCCAGTCGTAAGGGCCATGAGGGTCGTGCAGGTCCGCGTGAGACGGTCTGGAAGCAGGTGAAGACGGCGGTGCGCACCCGGATGCCGAATGCTGACGTGGAGTGCACGGCGTGGGCGGCGGCGGCGCGCTGGGCGCGGCAGATCAGGCGCGTCAGCCAGGCCCTCTCGACGTACGTGCCGAAGCCGAGCGAGGAGGGCGAGGACCAGCAGCGGTGCCTGGAGCGGGTGGCGCGCATCCTGTTCGAGGCTCATGCTTCATGAGCCACGTCGCGAGGCAGCGCCCCACCCTGCAGGCGCTGGGCCATCTGACGCGCACCTTTTTTCTTTCAGGCCTTGCGGTCATTGGCGATCCAGCGACCGAGGATTTGATTCGGCGAATCCTGGACCAGGCCGATTCTCACCAGGCCAGGTTCCTGGCTTTCAGAGACGAGTCCTGGAAGGCCTGGGTTTGGAGCAGTTTTTTTGGCGGGGCTCGGGAAGCTCATAGGTTTTCCAAGGTGCGAGGTCTTCGGGGGACGATCGAGGCCACCGAGCGAGCGCAGCCGTTTCAACTGGCTGATGCGACTTGCTCGGACTGGGCCAATATCTGGTCGACTCACGGATGTCGAGCGCCCGAGTTCCCGCCCGATTTCGATGATTGGCCGTCGCTCCCCGAGATCGCGATTTCCGATGTGCGAGCGGCGATTGCCAAATTCTTTCCTTGAACGGCTGTCGGGCGTGTGAGCATTCACCCGAGGTCGCTGCAGTCTTTGTCGGATGCCATCTTGTCGGCTGTCGCCGCCCTCCTCACGAGCTGTGAGTGGGTCGGGTGTTGGCCGACGGGACGCCTAGTTAGCCGTTTGGTCAGGCTGGCCAAGCTTGACGGCGGCCGCCGCTTGATCGCCCTTCTCGATTCCTTGCTGCGGCCCTGGGGCCGTTTGCGCAGGGCAGAGACCGAGAAATGGGAGCTCGCCGCCAGGACTGCGTGTGATGAGGGGCGGGTGGAGGTTTTTTTGGGGTACGGGGAGGGGGATGAGCTCTAGCGATTCAGCCTTTGATTTGAATCTAGCAGCAGAGATTGCGAAGGCACGGTCCCATCATTGTGTCTCGTTGCTGCTGGATATGGTCAAGTGCTATGAGATGATAAAACTTTCGGTTTTGTTTCAGGTTTTTCGCCAGGTCCATTTCCCCCTTCCGCCTGGGGTGGATGCTCATCCAGATCTACATGGCCCCTAGGCGGGTCGACGCTTTTGGGTCCCTCTCCGAGGCCCATGTCAGTTTCCAGGGCATGCTAGCTGGCTGCTCGGCGGCGTCAGC